ATAAATTCAGTAGAATTTGCGATATTGTTTGCTAAGGATTTTTTATCCTTAGATTTTTTGTTAGTAGAAATAGCTTCATGTTGTTTGTAAGTTTGGTTGGTAGTTGAGATAAAGTGAGTGTGAAACTTGTCACAAAAGCAAGTAATGATAGAACTAGATTCAGGTGCTTTAAAGTAATGATAACTTTTAGTCCCTCCTCTAAGTTCTGTAATTGTACAGTTATTTGGTTGCTTGTTTGCAGGAATAGGGTGTGATTTATTAGCTGCATCTTCAAGAATACCAATACCAAAGCTTTTAGAACACTTTTGGTAAAAATAATCAAGATTGATGGTATCAGGTGCAACTGTTGTTAAAGTCAGCATTTTTCCTTAAAAATAAGTTTCTAAATATGTTTTTTGAAAAAATTTGTTTAAATTAAAGGTTTTCAGACTAATTAGGAAAGTTTGAAAAAAAGTTTAAGCTTCAGATAAGCTGATTGGGTGTTTAGGAAATTCTAATGGGTACCAGAAAAGTGAAATTTCTGGGGCACCCCTGCAAATTTTTCTAAAATTGCCAATGAAAAAACCTGCAAAAAACAAGTTTTTGTTTTTGCTTTTCACTTGTATCTCTATAAGTTTTGGTCTGTTTTGGACAAAATATATATCAAAATGTCCAGCTCAGTGAGCTGAACAACTTTTGAATAGGCAGTATAATAGATTTAATTAGTAAATTATTAAGTAAATAGACAAAAACCAAAAATATAGTTTTTGTAACTTTTCCTGGCACTTAAGTATTATCAGGACTTGAAACATAGCCGACTGGGAGTGAAAAAGTGTGTTGAACCGCTTTACTTAAGAGGTCAAGTAAGGTTTATTTAGTAAAATGTTGAGAAATAATTAAATGTTTTTTTGTGTTTTTGGTATAAGTGATCTATGGAAAGAGTTGCTTTCGAAAGTTAATTTATTATTTATGCTGAAAAACATATAAACCAGAAGTATAATTATAACTTATCTTTTTAGACTATTTGAAATAGCAGTTTGGTAGAACTGAATTAAATACCAAAGTAAAAGAATATGTTGTAAAGTCAATATCAGGATTGAAGTGAACTTTACAAAAGCATAGTAGTTTAATAATACATTCTGACTACAAGTATTGGTCTTAGTTATAGTAATACCAAGTCAGCTATAAGAATAAAATACTGAAGATTTTAGAAAGTTTAATACAAGATCAAAAGATTTTATATGAGTAAACCACTTTAAAGACTTAGTGATCATGACATATTTGCACTAGTATTAACTGGAGCATCTTGGTAGATGTAGATAAGTAGATAAATATAGGAACTAAAGTATTTAAATAAGGAACTTACAAGCAGATTCCAGATATAGTAACTAGTATAGAATCTTTAGATAAATACTTAAATTAGACAATAACTAAAGTCTTATAAGTGACTAGTTGTATACTCTTTTCATGATTACTTTTTATAGTTGTAATGCAACTATTAGCTGAATATATTATTAATAAAATTCTGAGTAATAAGTACTCATTTTAATATTTAAAAAAATAATAATAATCCTTCAAGTAGCAGGTTTAAGGTTCAAATTTTACCTATAATAAAATTTGAAAATTAATCTGTATTATAAAAAACTGTTTCTTATTAATTAGTTAGATTTAGATATCTGTAATATTAGTTACAACCAATTAGATTCTATTTGTATTAAGAACTTAGAGCATTTATATAAAATATAATGTTATATGTATATAAAAAAATGTTAATAACTAGCTTTGCATAAGACTTTAGTGCAAATCTATGATAAGACTACCAGATGTGGAAGATCAAAAAACCAAAAAGATAAAATCCTACTTAAAAATTTCTGAGTAAGAGATAGTACAAATCTTCAACAGTACTGTTGAACTAATAGAAACCCAAAAAATTCTAATAAAAAATATGCAGACATGTAATCAAATAACTAGATATATAGAAAAGCATATAACTAACTAGGCTATCAGAATCATCAAAAAAAAGAATATCAAAAGTTATATTGTACTAGGCTATCTAAATTGGAAATTTAAAGAATCTGTCAAATTCATTAAGACAAGCATTTTGGTGATTAAATCATTTAAACTAGACCAGTGAATCAAAAGTTATTTACTATAAATTTTTAAATATATATATTATATATATATATAATATATATAGTAAATTTAATTAACTAATTAGAATTAAGCTAAAGGTGACTATACTATATATAGATAGAGATTATGTGATAGATAGTATGGCTTTAAAAAAAAATTATAATTTTTTTAAAAATTTTAGTATTTAGTATATACTGCATTGCAGTGCATCTTTATAATTGATTTACAAATTTACATATAAAACAAAAAATAATTTTTAATTTATTTTAAAGTTAAGATAAGTCTAGAATTTTATAAAAATATTAATATAAACAAATTTTAACAAGCAATTTTTTTATTAAAATCTTAAAAACAGTTTCATAAATGAAATTTTAAGATATTGATATTTTTTTAAAAAAATTTTTAAAAAAATTTTTATTTTTGTTATACAAAATCTTTATGTTATATAAATGATTTACAAATTTGATTAGCTAAACTTTTTTTAATTTTAATTATTTCAAAAACTATTGCATAAAATCATAAACTTTTTATTTAAAACTTTAGATATAAACAATTTTTTATATAATTTGCAATTTTATATCTTGCTTATTTAACTCAATATAAAATTTTAAAATGTGTTCACAATAATGTTATTCCTTTGTACATTTAAACATTTGATCTTTTTATTTTTTTAACCTATAAAAAAGACAATTTTAAATATATGCAATCAATATAAATAATCAATATATGTAGTTTATTTTAATTACATAGATTACTTAATAATATGTAATAATTTATAGTATATGTAAGGGTTAAATTTTAGCAATCGATTACATAATTATTACATTGTGCCAGGTTCGTGGCGCAGCGACAGTTTTGATTGTGCCACGTTCCACCTGACCTTGAAATCTGGTTCGTAGTTCAGAAAATCTGCGCCACAAATCCGATATGTTGTCGATCAGAAATCAAGACTTATACTAAAACTTATTTGCAGCAAATTTTATAAATAATTTTTTTTTATTAAACTAAATAAGATTGAAACTACCGAATAAAATGAGTAGAGCTTAAGCGCCACCCATTGTACTAGTATAAATTATGAAGAAAATAATAATAAAATAATAATGTTAAAGACAATCTGGTATTAATGTTAAAGACAATCTGGTATTAATGTTAAAGACAATATATTTTATAGTAATCATTCACTTCTCAGACGAAGATATACCTCCAATTTATCGCATCTATAATCTAAATCGTATGATTTTGAGAATGACTTGTTATCAACTAACTCAATTTTATATTTTCTAAGGATCAAAGTTAGGAAAATTGCAGCGCTAGTTAATGCTATATGACGTCCAGGGCATGTTCTAAGTCCACCACCGAATGGTAAATGACTACTTTCTTCAATATTTTCATTACCAAGGAATCTTTCAGGTATGAATGATTCTGGATCATGCCAATGTGCTTTGGATTTATGTATATAATAAATATGAATAAAAAATTCTTGCTGTGCTTTCCATTTAAGACCAGCTACAGTATCTTCTTTATCTGATGCTTTAAAAATAAATGGGACAACTGGCGTCAATCGCAAAGATTCTTTGATACAAGCTTCGAGATAATCTAATTTTATAATATCATCGTAGGTTACAGGTCGGTTCATGTCTTTACCAAGGACTCTATCGATTTCATCATGAACCTTGGATTGTACAGCAGGATTTTTAGCAATGTTATATACGGTAAAACTTATTCCAGAACCAAGCTTACAATTCATAATAATTAAATTAGGTTTAAATTTATTAGTTTGAAATTATAAAACATTTTACAATATTTTTATACATAACTTTAATTAAATGCTTACCGGATTAGTGCTACTAGTGATTGCTTCGATTGTAACTCGCATAATTTCTTCATCTGTCATAGGTCTTCCATATTCATCATTTTCAGTGCCGAATTGAGTACTAAGGTGTGTGTTAGAACAAATAAGAGAAGTTAAAATATCAGAACTTAATGTTTCTCCCTTTGGAGTATTCTCAATTTCTTTTCTTCTGAGTTTTACAATATTAATAAAATATTCATTTAACCAATTTATGTTATATAAATATTTAGAATTAAGAAAAGTAAAAGGTGGAATATAATGTCTAAGGAATTTTGGAAAGCAATAAAAGAATACAATTGATTTTTGCCAGATTCGAATTCTATTCCACATTTCAATAGCTTGTTGTTGTTCGAATGTGATATTAGAATTATTTTTTCTAAGATAATTATAATGAGTTAACATATTTGCAGTAGGTATTTTTGTTACTGTAGGAACAAGTGTATCACTTGTAAATTTATAAATCCAATCAGCTATATCAATCTTCATAACTTTATTCCCTTTTGATAATATTATCCAGTATCCTTCTAATTCAATAAAGGCCTTTTCCATTATATGAACGAGTGAAGGTACCAGAAGACTTCGACCTAACATTGACCTATTAAATCTCCAAGAACTCATATGGTTATTAAGACTCATTCCCATACTAGTCATTTTAACTTCATCAATCCAAGGACCTATAGCACGATATGGGAAATTTGATTTTGGAGATGGATCGTTAAGTTTTTTAAGTAACTTTGCATCACCCAACCAAATCAAACGCTTAGAACCAAAATAAATTTCAAATATTGGCCCATATTTTGCTTGAAGTTTAAGAAATAATTCAGCTAGATCTCCACGAAAAAGATAAGCATTACCAATTATAGGAAAAGGCAAAGGCCCTGGTAAAGGATTATTACGCGTAAAATAGGAGAGGTAATATTTAGCCGTGTAAGATAGGGTGATGAACAGAAAGACTGTTAACCAGTTTGTTAATGTTAAGGAAGTAATATTAGAAGAAACCTCATGTAGTTTTAATGTTAATGTAGTATTAGAAATTTCATGGAGAGTATTAAGAATTTCATGAATTTGAAGACGCATCTTTTTTTCTAATATTTGTTAAGCTTTATCGGTAATGGTGAAATTCATTATTTATATAAGCTAAATTACGATATGTTATATTCCACAAATCCACAAATCGTGTGGCCAACAAACTTTAGATACGTAGTATAAACTCAATACTCTAGATTCTAATATAGCCAAATTTGGATAGTCCATGCAAAGAGATACTATAAAAAAAAATAATAAATGAAATTCATTATTACAATAGTAATTAATGTCGAATAAAATCGGATGTCTGGATTTGTTTGAAAATACAAGCTACGTATACTAAGGGGAGGGCCAAAAAACACGTGTTTTCTGGCCCTTCCCTAAAATCAACATATAATCTTTAATTAACTTTAATCCTAAATCCTAAATTTTTTTTTTTAAAAAAAAAAGAGGCCCAAAGAATTTCAAGAATTGCAAATGAAATAGATCCAAATTTCAGTATTATACGACAATTGATGCTTAGTAAATTGATAACTAGTAATCTAGTCTAGCACTTAGAATCAAATATTTAGATCTTATGTCAACAATCTTTAACATTATACTTTTTCTTGTGTAACTTTATAATAGTTTAATTTGTACGTAATTAGATAATGATCGAACCAACGATCACTACGACATTTTATATAGTTAGATCATCATTTATGTTTTGCTTAATAATTAGTTAGATAGTATACAAGGAGTATTCTTGTATTTTTCTTGACTTTGTGCTTGCGGCACTGAGTTAAATTTGGCTGAAAAATATAAAACTCTTCTCTGCCGTAACACCTAGCACTAAAGTACATTTAACAATGACATGTATAAATTAAAAAATTTATACCTTTGTAACAATATTAGTGGTCACTATATTAAGATTGGGGGGTATAAATCAATTATATCCGGATATTATGTGTATAAGCGGAAATATCATTTCTAACTACCTACAATCGAGTGCGCAGTCACATGATCGTCTGATATCACATGACTATCGATATGTTAAAATAATTTCAATATATATTAATTTTTTTTGGTCAAAAAAAACAGAATTGAATATTTAAATATTATAAAGCAATTTAATTTCACACATATTATTGACTTAATACATGTTAGAAAAATTTTTACTCTTATAAAATAAATTTTAGATTTGTGAAATATAGTAACCTAGTATACAATTATATTAAAATTAGAGATGTGCTTACGCGCAAGATGCTTATATCATCCTCATGTGAATTAATTATATGATCTTATATGAAATAAATTTTTAGTAAAGAAATTTTAGAACAATAGTTTTATCAGTAGAATAAATCTTTTTTATTACATACATATATATATATATTTGGTATTAAGATGACTTTTTGGGTCTTTTGACTTTATTAACATATTTTTGAAAATGTAGTTTCATGAGAAGCATTACAGAAAGAGTGTACAATTAGTTACTCATATAATTTTCTATATTACCTATTTAAGAAGTTTGCCTAATGTTCCCTATTAATTGTTATATATAATACCTTTGCTTGAATGGTTTATTTTAAATTTTTTGAACCTATCTCATTAATTTTATCAAATCAAGTCTAAATTCTTGTTTCAATTTTAAACCATTTTTATTCTTAAGATAAACCTCTTAGAGCCTATTGTGTACTTATTTTACAATTGATTCAGGTATAAGTATGTATTACTATAGTTAAACCAACATTTGCAGTCAGAATTAATTATTAAATTACTGTCTTTACAGAGTTTACCTAGATTTTAGTATTTATTTTATAGTATATCTTTAGTATTTTAGTATATTTCTATTTATTTTATCAAATTCCAATTTAAATAACATGATAGAACTATATTAGTCTATTAGTATATCAGGTTAGTTCAATACCTTTTTATTTGATCTAATCTGATAGTTTAGTTAGTAATACTTTTATCTAAAGGTTTTTGTCTGTTTAGCTACTTTGATATTAGTATCTGTTTTTTAGATCTAGTCTTTACAATAGTATTATCAAAGATTTATATTATCTCTTTACTTAGGTCTTTTCAAATAGGCTCTTTGTTTCCTAATTTCTACAAATTTATATAGTTACAAAAACTTATTTTAGATTTGTATTACTTGATACTAATTTAAATTTTTCTATATAACTAGTTATATAAATGTTTTATAACTTGCTAATTATGCTAATATAACTATAATTACAGTTATCTTAACCTAATTGTTAGAAATAATTACTATAATATAAATAAAAAATCTAAATTTTATTATTAGTAAGTTTTGAACTTACAATCTGTTACTTAATAAATTGACAACTTATCTACATTATTAAGTTGTCATATCTTTATACATATACATATATTTTATTAATAATTTTTTTTTATAAATAAATAATTTGTTTTTTAGTATTAGCTCTTTTAATTATTATGTTACAAAAAAAAATTGAAATTATTTTATACAATTAAAACTTGTAAATAGCTTTAATAAAAAATAAGTATATTATAATTATTACAATTATAAAATAAATAAAAATGTAAAATAATATACTACATTTAAGAAAATATTATCAATCAGTATCTACTAATGTTCTAAAATAATATATTTAATCAAAAACAAGTATTCAAATATTACAACTATAGTTTCCAATTTAGTTATTACATTAATACAAAATAATATAATTAAAGACATAATTAATTATATTTTAAATTAGAAATTGAACAAAACAACTTAATTTATTTTTAATTCAACTTATTTTTTATTACAGATTTTTACTGTCATTTTCTAAGATAGAATAATTTAGATTTTTGTTAAATATATATATCTTTTTTTGAATTATTATCACAAAAGCAACTTACTAAACTTTACTAAATCAAGCTTATATGAATACTAAAGCTAGAATCAATCAATGTATTAATAAAGCAGATTTTTTAATACTTATTACAAATAGATAATAAATTAGAAATAATTTAAAATTTTAATATATATTCTGCCTGTCAATCATCAGTACAGGAGTAAATAAGAAGACAAAATACTTGTAAAAACTGAATACAAAAACAATAAGTACTATACAAAAAAAGCTCTTGCTTTTACATTAAGAAAAAGAAGAATGTCCAATATTAAGATAGAAAAATTATTAGAAAAAAGGGCCAAAATTCATGACACTAGAGCAAGAAAAGCACAGAAAGTTATTAACAATAGCATACATAATAACATGAGGTCTGAGGATCAAGAACAGGCTCTGGGCCACAAGTTGGGTTCTGAACATGCAAATATGGGGTTACAAGCTGGGCTGAAACGACAGAACAAGAATATGCAAATAAAAAACTAATGAACACAACAGACTCAACTGAAAACATGTTGGCAAACTTGCAAATGATATCAGAAAATCTACTAATTTCAGAAATTTTGACAGAATCAGAAACAGAATCTTCTGGAATAAACTTAGAAATATCAGATTTTCTACACATTGAAAATACATCCTCAAACAAATGTCAGTGGTCTAGTCTTTTCAAACTAAAGAGAGAAAAGGCTACCTACTTCACATATGCATTCAGAAGCCAAATTTATACAAAAAATGATAATGCTATTATATTCGATATACAAAACTTGGAAAGTTTTTCAATTAATAAAATCATATCAGTTATGTATGCTAAAATTGGTGATGACTTTATTGCAGCAAAATCTTATTTTAATAGAGAAAAACATATTCATCTTGAAATAGTTTTTGTTAATAAAGAAAAGCAAAAACAGTATGCCATTGAAGGCTTGATAATTTTTAATCAAATGATTTTAGGATATATCCCTATGAATTATAGAAGGACTTACCTACCTATAAAACTTAGGAATGTTCCTTTAGGGCACAAAGAATTTATCTCCAACCAAATTAAGAAGGCCTTCAAAAACATAGGAACAATTACATTCATTAAACCCTTGGTATATGAAGGAACTCCTATAAGTACAAATTAATAGATAGTTATACTTGAAACTACTAATAACCCAAATCTTACAGAAAGATTACCCAGACATACTCATATTTGGGAACAGAAAGTTTTGATAAAATGGAGAGAAGCACCTAAATTATGCTTCTATTGTGATGAGATCAGGCATATTAAGCAGAACTGCCCTGAATTTAAAATGGCATTGGAGCTAAGACAAATCCAAAAAGCATGAAAAGAACAAGAAATAAGGAAAATTAGTTAAAATAATCAGATTGCAGAATTGACCTTTAATGAAAACAACCCATACATAGAGAAAGATGCATTGCATGTATAACAAATGCATGATAACCAACAACTGAGGGAAAATAACATTAGCATAAATAGCACAAACATTAAAACCATTATGCAGGATGAAGGCATAACACTTACTACTAACCATTTACAGGCAGTGAAAGCCTCAAACGAATCAGAGGCAAATAACATTGTAATATTAATGAATAGAAAAGATAAGAATAAACAAGTGGCAATGTCACTTTTAGTCAAAATGGCAACTGAAGCAAGTGCAGCTGAGTACACTGACATAATAATAGAAGAGACCTAGAGAATGAGGAAAGAAAATAACAATAATGAATTCACCACAGTGGTAAGAAAAAGAAACAAAAGTAAAAACATAAAGAAAAACATGAAGAAAAACCAAGCAACATCAGATGTAAGGCTCAATCTCTACAGAAGAATGAAATGAGTTGATGAGCAACTAAAAAATATAATAGATTATAAATATTACACTATATAATCAAAAACATAAACTGTCAAATTAAAATTGCAACATTAAATGTCAAAGGTCTTAACAACAAACTAAAATATTAGAAAACTTTAGTATTATTAAAATCTTACTACATAGATATTATAGCATTACCAGAAACCAATTTGAACAATGAAAATTTAAGAAATTTTATTATGTAGCAATAAACTTATGACTTAGTATAGATGAACAAAATCACTATCCTAGCAGGAAATAATAATATAAAATTCAGTAATATTAAAGAATCACACAATGGAAGAGTTATATAAGCACAATTTAAGTTTAAAAATAGAACTTTTAAAATTTCAAATATTTATGCTTTACTCAATATAACAGAAAGATCAACTTTTCTAAACAACTGGTACCCAACAATCAATGTGAAAGCAATTAATGTAATCACAGAAGACTTTAATATCAACCTCAACCTTAATAGAGACAGAGTTAGTCAAGCAAAGGTGCATTGTGACCCCACTAGAGATAAACTTAGAGATCATATAGAAGAATTTATGGACTTAGCTGAATTTGCAACTATTAAACCTTTTCTCACATTTTTTCAAACAACACATAGGCACCAAACAATAGCTACCTGATTGGACTATATATTCATCAAAGATAACTATATACAACTTTGTTAAAAAATAGAAACTTAATTTGGTAACTTCGACCATTTGCTAGTAGAGTGCACTATGAATCTAACATCTCTATCAAATAGAGCAGCTTACTAGAAGTTCAATAGAGGTTGCTAAAAGAATGAGAACTTGAAAAATCAAGTAATAGAAGAAATCAGAGATTTTTACAACTCAACAAACTGAAACTTTCAGAAATACTGCATACAGTCTATTATTTGAGCATTCAAACCTTCAGTTATACCAGAAAGACATATTTAAAAAATAAATAAGGATATTACAAAATTAAAAGCCAGGCTAGTAACAGACCCAAGTCAGTCTAACCTGAATATCATAATAAATGAACTCTCAGGGCAATTCAAGAGGAGTTAACTTCTTTAGCAGAAAAATAGCAAATTAGGTCTTCAGCATGCTGAATAGAAAAAGGCGAACATTCAACCAAATATTTTTTTGCTCACTACAAATCAAGGCACTCTGAAACAGCAGTATTCAAAATTCGTATACCTGACAATCCTGGTAAAACTAACCTGAAGGCAATCTTATAATTTATTAAAAATACATATGAGAATATTTATAAGGCAGAATAGTAATTAAGTCAAGCAACTCTTTCCATAGATCACTTATACTAAAACTAAGAAAAAACATTTAATTATTTCTCAACTTTCTACTAAGTAAA